TATTATATGTAATATAAAAATTATGATATATGACAATACGAAAGTATGATAAAATAATATAATAATTATATATACTACATACTATATACTGTATTATTATATATAGAATATAAAAAAGTGAAATGACTGAAAATAACAATATCATATGCTATATACTATATTATATATGGATAAAGAAGTTTCGAGAGTAACAACATTATGTATGTACGCTGGGATAAAATAGTACTGCATTATATGTGTACAATAGTTCAGCGCCTGTTCATTGTTGCCTATGATTAGAACCAGCTCATTGTTGCCTATGATTAGAACAAATCTTTATATTAAATCTAGAAGAGTACCAAAAAATAAGAATAAATGCGTGCACTCATTCAACAGTTGCACATTGGTGTGTTTTCAGGACATAGCCAATATTCAGGAAATGTGACGATTATATAAAAATAAAATTTATGCAAAGATTAAGTGAATGTTGGCTAAACATATTCTGATTAAATAAGTACATATATATTTAGACCGATGTGTTATATAGAAATTCATGATATATACGCCGAGCAAAATCGTGAGCGCTTATTTTTTTTTAATTCAATTAAATAAATTTCTAATGAGAATACTAATGTTACTAGTCATGAATTCGAAATATTTCTAATGAAGATTATCACACAAAATCATCCCTTCATATCTCCAATCTTTGTAAATTTAGGAAAACACGTTTATGGTTAATGATTCTTATATTTTTACAAATAAAAGTGCGACATATTAATTTTTTAACAAATAAAAGTGCGACACATTAATTAGTAATTATTATAATTTGATTTTATAAAATCCTAAATTTAAAATGTTTAAATGTCAATGCAGTCCATTTAAATATTCTCTAATGGTCACTTCGAAGCATTTTAAAATCCGATGTAAAATCAAGAATACATTAGAAATTTTTATTTCCAACTTGCTCCTAATATTTCAGATTAAAAGATGAAGCGTTAGAATCTAAATATATAAAACGCGGGAAATGACGGTGATTTTCTCATATAGCACATGTTAGATTGCGTTCTGACATTCATTGCCAGTATTGAAAATATATAGTTCAAAAATCACGTATATTATAGATTTTCAGTATTGGCAGTGAATATCGGAACGCAGCCTTAATATGATTGATGCGTTCATTTTAGGTATTCTCGAAGTTTTAATGTAATATTTATTCACTTCATTCATATCTGTATATTTTAGATTGGCACATTTGCACAATTGTTAATAACGTCGATAGCGTTAACAAATCATAAAGTGAATTGCACCCAACATTTCTTGAATATAAAACATTTGTGAAATATATTGCTTCCAGAAAAATGTTTTAATCATCTTAAAATTCGAAATTCGAAATTCATATTTCAAATTGAAACATTCAATTCCAAAACCTGTGAATAATTTATTTTTCAATTAACTTATAACTTTAAAATTTATCATTATATAAATTATTAAATGGATTGTTTATCATAATAGTAAAAAGTACAAAAATACAAACAATAGGCATAAATTAATAAATTGAAAACTTTAAAATTTTAAAGATGCCATCAATTAAAAAGATTATGATGGATGCCTTGACAACTTTCACAGCGATACATCAAATACAAATACGCCGAATCATCAGAATAAGGAGAATAAAACACGCAACGAGATAATGAGTGTATGTCTTTTTATTTTTGTGTCATTACTTGTATTCTCACCGTACATCTTGTCAAATTGGTTGGTAATACACTGTCTCTATAATATGCCGCAACGTTTGCTCGCGTGTTTTGTAGTGCGTGTTTAATATCCGTCGCGCAGATGTTCCTTCTTGGCCTTTCACATGGTAAAAAAGAGAATGAAAAAACATGAATGTCGCTCCACCATCCGCAGATTAGAAGACCGCGGAGCACCGAGAAACAGCACTCTTCGCGACCCTTGATGTTCCATGACGATCTTCCACACAACACAGACAATTTAAAAACCGTCGTCGAACGAATATTTCTTAAAACTGCGACGACTTTTTCCCTCTCTTTTCCCTTATTATCTCGTTTAATAGACAATCACGACGAATTGCAGGGGACTAAGCTAGAGCACTACTAGGTGTGTGAACGCGCGTAACTATGTATTATCGATAACAAATATGATTGCGACAAGAAAAAAACTCAAAATAATCGCGATTATGTTGCCTCGAGAATATTTCCTGATTTTTCAAAATTATATATTAGAAACGAAAAAAGGAACAAATGAACGAAACTAAAATCGAAACGTCGAATACGTGCAGAGTGCGATGCAAGCTAATCTCTGTAAAGGTTTTCTTGTTATCACATAAATCATCTGTCAGAATTTTTTGGTTAATAACAGCTTAATAACAAAAAATGTCACAGATATATGAAGAAATGGATTAATAATAGAAGTAATAAAGAAATTTACAAATAAAGCAAAACAATTGATTTTTTTTCAGCCTATATTAAACAAAATTAAAGTTTGTGATTAAAAATATTGCAATTACTTTTCATATATTATGAACCAATTTCTTTTTATTAATTTATTTTATTAATTATCTCAAAATAAATGAAAAAGTAACAATAAAAAAAAGCGCGTAATAGCATAAATATGAGAGCAACTTACATCGTACTAGCGCTAATTACGATATTTATATATAAAGACGGGTGACGCAGAATTAGCTGAAAAGCTCGATGTCGCCGGCATTAGATCGTCGTTGAATGATTCTCTAAATCATATTCATAGTGTGTATGTGTTGCATAACTTCGTATAGCATACATTATACGAAGTTATACGAGCAG